CTTAATTCACTATTTTAATAATTTGTTATTTCAAATACAGAGCGGGATTGTTCATTAATTTTATTTATATTTTATTATTAAAATTATTTCTATTTTTGAGCTACATTCTGCAACAGAATGTCTTTTAACAAATAAATTACGTATATATCGATGTGTACGTAAATTTATTTGTTAAACTACTGTGTTGCCTAAGTATATTGTATAGTGTATATTATAATTTTATATTCTACTTTAAAATAAATGTTTAATAAGTTATTTATAAACATTTTTTACATATTTTTAATTTTTGTATAAATAGCTAATAGAGAGCGTTTGAAAATCACAAAAACATTTAATCGACTGAATTTTAGATTAGATTATATCAACCGATCATTTTGATTAAAAAATCGTTGATTATGTTTTTTAACTCATGATTTCTTATTGAGTATTTATTAAAGAAAATATAAATTAAAAAAATCTGTATCATAATGATTTAATAAATATATTTATAATATTTACTATAATATTTATCGTAAATATTTTCTGATATTTATGATAAATATTTATGATTCTATTAAATCTAAAACTCCAAAAACATTTATAAAATATTTATAAAATATTAAAATAATTATTATAAATATTCTATAAAGATTTTATAAATATTCTGTACTGTCTGGGATTGCTTTGTGTTTTTCTGTGCTATTATATCTAGAAATATGTATATTGAACAGCCATTACAGATGTGCTAGAAAAGCAGATGTAAAGCAGGGTAGGAAGTTCATTTTTATATATACAAGAAGCAGCTGGTATAAACACAAACGCAAGCAGATTTTGCCTTAGAAAGAAGAATGTTTCTTTTTTTATGATGGCAGTAGCGTAGTCTTGATTTCTTAACGATTTTATCGATTAGAAAAAATATATAATTATACAATTTTTTTAATAAAGATATTAAAATTCTTGAATTTTATTCTTTACTTTCTCTTCTATAATTCTCTACTAATAGTTCAATTTAATTTTCCAGTTAAAAAAGTACTAATTTAAGTATTACTCAAAAGAACCTTTAAGAAATGAAGAGAATTCTTTTAAGAAATGTCTTAGATTATATGTGGTTTTTCGTTCGCCGTGTTGGATTTTATTTACGTTCATAAATTTACTATAAAAATTTGTTATAAAGAAATCAGTGTATGCCAAGAGGTAGGAATTAAATGGCGCATAGGAGCCAAAAAGGCAGAAGGTACAAAAAAAGGTTGCCAATCAATAAGAAAAAGATAGAAAAAGAAAGAGAAGGGGAAAGGAAGAGAAGAGAGAGGGAATGAGGGAAGGAGAGAGGGAAGGAAAAGAGTGGGTGAGGGAGAGAGAGAAGAGTGAGAAGTTTGCAGCTGCTGTGACAGCTGCACCCTTCCAATATTATTCCCGGACAGAGTGTTTCGTCCTATCCTCCGCACATACGCTCGATCCCTCCCATCATCGCCAGGTGCTTCATGTATCATCAGCACGCTTCGAGAAATCCTCCTTTGTCCCTCTCGACGGAGCTCCATCTCTGAAATGTAGACTGCAGAATGCGCGCACGAACTCAATGAAAATCCCTACTTCTCTCTCGACAAGAAAAATTTATCCGCGCGGAGAATCTTGAAGATTGCTCTGATGGCAACTTTATTTCATCTTTATTTCGCTTGCGTAATCAAGGACAGATGCATGCGGCGCAAAATATATGTTAATGCATGATCGATATTGAGTAATATTGTTACATAAATTTTAAAAATAATTACATATTTAAATGTAACATATACAACAAAATTGAGAACATATTCTTCTTCTCCACATTATTAATTACTAATTCAAATAATTTATTTTTACATTTACATGTTTTTATAAAGAGTTAGATAAGTATCGATGTTTGATTTTATATGCAAAAAATTTAAAAAGCCGATATAGAAATTTTTATTTTTCTAAGAATTCTCCTAGATTTTATGATATAAAAGTACAGATTTTTATTATTTATTTTATTATATATTATTTATTTACTTACTGGTACATAAAAATGTTTTAAATTCTCAATAAACAATTTAAAATTAATGAAAAGTTAAACAAATAAAAATATTAAGCGACAGGATAATTTTCAATATCTATTACAGCTCAAAGTTGAAGTAATGAATGAGCAGAGAAAATAAAACATGCAATAAATGTGATGAATGCTTAGATATTTATTTGCTTATTAAACGATTCAGAGCTTCGAGGCACAATACCTGATCTGAGGCGCGATGTGAATCATTTTTTACAACTACTGGAACATATTAAGATTTAGAACTGTGGTCATCAATTGCTAAGGCCTTGCGCACAATAAAAAAAATATTAGGAATAAAAATAAATATTGTGCAACCGGCGCGCGGAAAGTCGCCCTTTACGCACATGATGGAATTTTAGAAAGGGCTCCCTTTCCACGCACCGGTCACCCAAAATATCGTAGCTAATATGTGCGGATCGTAAATCGGTCGAGAGTACAGAAGTTTGGCGCACGAGGCGAAGCCGAGCTTCCCCCGCACTTGCTAATATACTATTAAATATTAATTTTTAAAAAATTACTAAATTCTAACATCTAATAAATATTTTCTATTTTTTGTAGATTATTGTCAAAACAAAATTTTAGAAACTTAAATAAATATCTTAACGTCATTAATAAACGCTACGCTAGAATTAATGATAGGTTTTTTTAAACTGTTTTTAATTAGAAACAAAAAAAATTTAAAGATTATATGCATATACAGGGTGTCCCATGTCTCATTTTAACTTAGAAATTCAAATATCTCAAAAAAATATGAAAGATACGGAAAAACATTTATTCAAACAAAAGTTGTTTGGTTCGAAGGGGGATATAAGATGATGCCATTGATTTGACCTCGAATAATCATTTGAAGGTAACTTTTAATTTCTTTATTATGAATTCCCATTTTTATTATATATTCTTCTAACTTTTATCTCAAGATCTTTTCAAAACTTCTTTTTTTTTAATATAAGTAAAATTGCTATTGATTGAAAAACACTAAATATATGACAATAAAATGTTACTCCAGTATTAGAAATATACTGTATTAGCAATATCTAAATCTATATATTATTTAAATTTATAAGCTATAAAATATGAATATTTTTATATTTTCTATATTTTTTATTTTTTTTCTTTTATTCTGTGCTTAATCTCTATTCCTAATTCCAATGTTTAATCCAATTATTAAATATTTATTCGTATTCCCAATATTTTCTGCATTATGCGCAGAGCTTAAGAACCAAATTAAGAAACTTATTTTACAGCCGATTATTAACGGGCAGGAAAGGGGGAGGAAGGAGATCGAGAAGAAGGCCGTAGCCGTAGTTGCGGCTAGATCCGGTCCGCGCACAGTTGAACGCACGGGCATATCGCGATATATAATTCCGACAATGTCGTTATTCCTCTTCTCCTCTACAAACTTGCAGTTGGCAACACGTGTCCCTCTTTTCTCGTTCGAACCGTCTCCTAATACTAGTTAAGTTCTTTGTAAGTTCCGACGTCCATGGACGAGAACGAACATGTTTGGACGCGTTTCTGCGAGCGTCTCATTTGATTGGGGGCTTATTTTTGCAGGATCCAAAATTATTTTTCTAAATTGTTTCTCAAAAAAATATTTTTATTTTATACATGGGACGTTCCACGTCAAGTGGACAGGCGTCTGGGCAAAATTTGTGAAGTTGAAACAATACTGTTGACGGCTTAAAATTTTCATTATTTTATGTTGTTTAAGAAAAAACGTGGCCTTTTAAAAAATTTAAAGTACCCACTCCAATATATGAAAAGTTTTTTAGGTCGCTTATGAAGAATCTATAATCAGAATTTGAAAAAAATTGTTTATGTTTTATTTTTATTTTTATCGTTATTTTAGTACTATTTAAATGTGATAAAAAATGAAATTATTGATTTTTAACACGCGTCATATAATAACAATTAAAATAAAAGATTGGAAGAAGATATACCGGCGCAATTGACCCTTTTTCAATTATTCAGTACTATAATAACGATAAAAATAAAAATAAAAAAATAAAAAATTTTTCAAATTCTGACTATAGATTCTTCATAAGCGACTTGAAAAACTCCCCAGTTTCATTGAAATTGAATGCGTTTTGGACTACCTGATCGATAAATTAAATATTTTTAATAACTTTATCACGTATTCCAGCCGTCATATTGGAGTGGGTACTTTAATTTTTTAAAAGGCCACGTTTTTTTAAAATAACATAAAATAACGAAAATTTGAAGCCCTCAAACGTTTTGTTTTAACTTTAAAATTTTGCCAGGACGGTTCTCCCACTTGACGTGGAACGTCTCACATATGTATATATTCTTTCATTATATGTATAATGATCTATCTTTATATTTTCCTCTTTTGGATATTTTACTCTTCTTTCAGTTATCCTATTCTAAAACAACCCAGCAGGTAGCAGACTAACGTCATTAAACATCAAAATGACGTTATTTTGACGTCGAATGACGTTTTTTTGACGTTTAATGGCGTCAGTCTGCTACCTGGAAAGACTTACGAAGATGGATCTAAAGATCAGAGTTTCACTAATGTTAATTAATCTTAACTTTAACACTAATCTTTTATCTCTTTCCATTTCTATAATTCTAAAGAAAAATTAAGCAACATGTAAAATAAATTAAATTGAATTAAATTGCAATTTACATCAATATTAATATATCATCATAAATCTTAGAATTACATTAAATCGTTTTAAATCGTTTATTCGTAATTATATATTAATATACCAAAATAATAAATACAATAAAAAAACTTGGAAAGAATTACATTTGTGTGTGTCGCGCACCATTCTTTACCTCACCAGTTTCTCTCGGTCACTTCAATGACTCTTCTGGCTCGCGACCGATTCTTTCCCCCCTTTTTCTCCTTCTTTTCGCCGTCTCTTTCTCTTCCTCCTCCACCATCGATATAACCACCACCACTATTCTATCATCGTCATCATTCCCATCGACACCATAACGCTCGGTCCAGAGGAACTGCAGAACTAGTCGCAGCTCGCAGCCTGTGCGTCGATCCATCAGAGCGTTCTCCGTCTTGCAAACTCTCGGGAAGTGTTTTTGATTTAAAAATTCGTTTATCAAGATATTCTTCGGGTGTCAATATATAATTCGACAGTTGCTTTGAGTATCACGTGTGTGAAGATTTTGATAGAACAAAAACCTCTTTTTTGGGAAAAACCATCGCAAAAGGATATAAAGCATATAATTTGGGTATTATAGAGAATTTGTATCACGCGACAACAAGAAAGAATATAATAATGAGTCTGCCTCTCCACAAAATTCATATGTAAATAGTATCAACAACGGTATAAGAAACGAGAAAGATCTCGGTCACCGCGAGTGACGTTATAGTGCATTAAACTTTAAAGATGGTGCGAGGTCTATCGCAGTGGACCAAAACTTTGAGTTTCCCAGCCAGGGTGTCACCACAAAGACCCGTGAAAGAATTCAAAGGTTTTCACATAAGCCCTAGTGCTAGCCCTACATCACCGCCCAGCCCAATCAATGACACGATGGATAAAGCACCTATAATTACTGATGAGGTTAGGCATACTTCTTCTCCTATTTTTATTCATTTTTCAGGTTTTTTTTCAGTTTAACTTTCTAACGCAAAACTGATATTTTTAATAATAATATTATTAATAATATTATTAAAAATAAGTTATTAAATATTTTACACTTTCTGGATGTCCTTTGGACATATCTTCCCACATAGTACAAAACTCAACAGAAATGTTGCAGAAATGTTTCAAAGTTTCAAAATAACACTAAAATTTCATTAGAAGATTTAAAAAACATAAAAACATAGAAAACGTAACATTTGAAACGTTTGTGCAACCTTTTCGTAAACATATTTGTAACAAATAGCGGACATTTTCACGTATCTAGGACGTATATAAGACATTTTTGAGTAAATTTTGTGAAGGTCTCAGCAAGATTTTGTACTGTGTGGGTTTTGAACATGTTATATGGATACAAGTCATATTTTTGAAATCGCTTATTTTTAAACACACGACAACACAATTGAAATATTATAATAATAAGAAAACCATACATTTGTCTGTTATTATAAAATTATTATCTTAATCATTATTTTAATATAGTATATCATCAATAGCAACCCAGACAACACCATGTCCAATATTGGTGCATAAGACATCTTTAAGATGTTTTCAAAATGTCTTTGAGATATCATATCATAAGATTTCTTAATGATTCTTATACACTAATTTTGGACATAGTGCTATCTCTGGGAAATCGCAAATGAATAAAGAAAAATAAAAGATCTAAATACAGCAATGAAGAAATGTGGTGATTTCAATATCAACATGATGAGAATTTAAGTTTATCGCGATCTCATTAAGAAAAATGTTGATTCTAAGATGCGTGTAAAAATTTTGCACGCAAACGGTTTGTCCCGATGACATTTCAATATATGTGTCGTTATAGATATTGCGTTAGCTCACCAAGATTAGATATGGCCTTTCTTCACATATCCATATGATTCGTGAAATTTCGTATGCGAGTATGTCCCCGGTGCCGTCTCATCGGAATAAAATGCTGGTTGTAATGCTAGCTGTGACGGGATGGCGACAGCGGAAGCGTGGGAATCGAGCAACATAACAGATGGCCTCAACTGTTTTCGAAGTTATTCGACTTCTTTTTTCCTTACACGACTCTTCGTTCGATTTGCTCGTGTTCGCAATATCACCACTTTACCGATATAAAGTCGGCAATTGATTTATGAAATATTATGGTCGCATAACACTATAATCTCGAATTGAGATTTATTCCTAAATATATATAATCTTAACAATGTGCTAAGCAAATCCTCGTGCACAATTATAAGACAGCGAAAAATTAGCCTTATATATATTATTATTAAAATAAATAATCGAATTCTTGATGTTGCCAGTCAATAATTAAAAGGATAAATAATTTTCACGACCAATATTGGCTAATAAATATTTAATAATCACCACTTTCAAAGTGGTGATTATTAAATATTTATTAGCCAGTATTGGTCGTAAAAATGATTTATCCCTTTATATTATTATTACTATAAATATATTTTCATGGTTTGCTCAATGCAATTTCGAATATATAATCCATAAATTATCTGACAAATTCTTGACAGAAGCCTTATAAAGAAGAGAAGAAAAAAAGAGCAGAATTTCGTGAATTTTAATTGTAAAATCTTTTATGGTCTTTTGTTGATTACGACATCCGAAATAATGTAAAATAGTTACGAATATCCAGGCAAGAGTAATCATTGCATGTAATATTATAAAAACTCGGTTCTTTTGCCCCTCCCCTCGCTTCCGTTCCCTTTCTCTCTCTTTCTCTCTTCCCACGACTTCTCCGGTCAGGCTACGCGCCGGAAGCGGCGTAGCTCTTTGTACGTGCTTTTTTTCCTCGCGCATTGTTCCATCATCGCGCATTCCACGACATGAACTTCTCCGTGCTCCGTGCCGTTCGTGAACGAGAACGTTACGCTCCACGGAAACCCGCTACGAAAGGAAGTAAAATACGGGAACTTGATTCGTACGTTTCACGTTCTCTCAATCTTAAATGTACGCCCATTATACAGGGTGTCCCAGAATTAGCGGATCACTTTGTTAATAGGAAGATTATCATTTTTTGCAAGTTTCCAATTTTTACCATATATATCGTTTTATAACCCTTATATAAATTATATTATATTATTTTAACGATTTTATAAAGACTTTTATATATTTATGGTTATTCTAGTGAATTGAAAATTATATTAATATTGTAACAAAAAGATTTGTAAAACGGAATAAGCCATCCTAAATCGCAAGGCAAGGATTAATAAATACATACATATATATATAGCCCTAATTAAATTAAAATTCTATTAAAGTATAAATTCTATTTGAAATTAACTGAAGAATGTGGTATTGTTAATATTTTATTTCCACAAGGCTTAGTGACTCCGAAAAACTCTTTTATTATTTCAATAGCTTATAACTCGAAAATATTATTAGTGCCTCGCAGTGTTTGCTGTTATCTAAATAAAATTATATAAATGATCATCTAGATAAAATTTTTGAGTTATATCTAGATAATAGCCATATATAGATAATAAAAATAAATATATCTACATTTTAGATAAAAAAATATTAATTATCTTCATAAAATTATCTAGAATAATGTTCAGATAATTTGGGTTTATTGTTAGAGTCATAGCACATAAAAATACTTAATTAGTAGAACTTAAGTAGTAAACTATTTATATAAATAAAAGTGTGAATATATTTTTATATCCCTTTTATAATTAATTTACATTTTTTATAATTGTGTTTAGATAAATGGTCTTAAAAATATTATCTGGAAGTTATCTAAATAAATTGCCATATAATTTTATCTTTTTTATCTAGATATTTACAACAAAATCATCTTTATCTTATCTAAAATAAATTTACATATTTTTATCTCTACACATCTTTATCTAGCTAAAAAATCATCTAAGCACAATACTCGTCTCGGAATTTTTGCTGACCAAAAATCGTCTTTAAATAACCTTAGGAATCTCCATTAACAAGATGACTTACTAATTCTGGGATATTCTGTACATCTCAGATTGTATATTGCGTTAAAACAGTCGTTATATCATGTATGTACAAAAGATATACAAAGAAATTTTTCTTAGGAAGAGAAAAGTTACACTATTCTAGAAGAAGATCCAGCAACAGAAATATACGAAATATATAACATATGTACGTATCATATTTCAAAGTAACAAAATGTTTTTAAATATCGTTATTTTACATGATTACAATATTATAATTATAATGATAATTGTCTAAATATTTTAGTTTAAATGATCGATAATTGTGTTTTCTTATATCTCGCAATACTTTGTCCAACGAATGTGATGAGTCTTCCTCATTATTCTGTTTCCCCATTTTCTCCTTAACATTTCACGCCTTTTTTTTTAGCTTTAAATTGTTAAAGATTCGGATATTTTACAATATTTCCAACTAATCAGAGCCATGTAATTTCTTAACAACCGGAACCGGAGGAAGCCTTATTAAACTTGTCCATCGTGAGGGTTACTGAAGGTCGCCAATAGACGCATACATGCGATTCAATTTTTATGTATGTACTCTTCATATGCGAGATTTAATCTAAAATTTATTCCATTTCATATGTATTTGCGAATTTAAATTTATATAATCCACGCTTTATAAGATTTATTTTTATTCGTTTAATACTTGCTAATGATGGATAGTCCGAAATTGGGACTGAAATGCACAACAAATAATATTTAACAAGAAAAAATAATTTGTGCAATCATTTACTCACGTGCTATTAATTAGCCCATTCCCTTTTTACTTGAGAATATTTATTATTAAACTTTAAATAAAAAGTGCTCTTCGAAATGTTGAATTTCTGATGAAGCAGGGATATCCTATTTATTTTTATTGCTTTAATTATTATTGCTTTGTCCACGTCACTTTATATACAACTTATAAACTAAAAAAAACGAAGTTTAAAATTCTGAATATTAAATATCTAATTAACCGGAAATGGATTATTAAGAGTTTCGACCTTTGTGATATTCAATTGAATGTGCTTGGACGACAGACTGTCGAGTGTACATTAAAAGAATTAATGTTTAATTCTGTTTTTTTATCTGTTCATATTTTTAATAAAGATATAATTTAAAATGGGCTTAATATATTAATAAAAATGTGCAGTATTTGTTCAGGAATCTTGTTTAGGAATTGGGATTTTTACTAATATAAAATATATAATAAAAAATTTTAAATGCGGATAAATAGATATCTCGTCTTTATTGCCCTGGTACATTATTCAATTCAACTGTTTTTAAGAACGAGAAAATAATAAGCTTAACACATGTTACGTCGTATGTTAATTTTCAACTATTTGTCAAGGTCGTACGTACAAACTTGAAAAGAGAACGTCGTTCAGGGTACTAATTCGCAATATTATTTGTCGAAATTTGCGGTCTTCGAGTCTGGGAGAAAAGATTATAATCTAAGATTATAATCTTGTAGCTGTATTTGCATGATTATTAAGTCGAGCTAGAAATATTTCGATAAATAATCAGAATATTGATAATCAAAATAAAACACAGATGATATACATATAAATAATCGGATTCGTAATTTCTTTAATGTAAAACTTAAAAACTAATAATATAAAATAGTCGTACTATGCAACCTGAAGCAATAGTTAAACTGTTGTCAGTTTATCACGTATAGATAATTATATCATATATTTAATTCGTTGAAGCTAAAAAAGATAAGATAAAAAATAAGATATGTCAATTGATGATGACATTGAATATGAGGATTGAATATTCAATGCTACCAGATGCAAAGAATAAGTGGAACATATGAAAATCAGATTGTGTTATTTTACTGTAATATCACGCCCATTAGTCATATATATTGCTATAGCGGGAATTTAATAACTTGGATCGACAGTTTCTTTTTATTCAAAAAAAGGGAACTTAGGAATGCAGAAATTTCTGAACCTATATTATTATTATTATTATCTTAATTTTATTACAATTGTGTGTATATATATATATATATATATATTTATTTATTTTAAATCTTAAACAAAATTAAAAAAATAAATAATTTTTTTAATTTTGTTTAAGATTTAAAATAAATATATAATATAAATATGATATTGATGATAAAAAAAATTATTTATTAAAAATATTGAAGTAAATTGACTTAAAAATGTTATGTTAGAATTTACTGCATCGATATAAATTTTAAAACATCTAATATTTCGAGTTCTTTCAAGAGCAATCTAGAGGAAGAAGACAGGTTCGTCTCTTTCACTTCTTTTCTGTTATTTATATCTCGCCGCTAACAACTAGCTGGTTGCGTTAAGTTCCTCGACCTTGCCGGTCGTGCAAGTTTCTGCTCTTTGCGACCATCTCCGAACGTGCTTGCATACGTATATATATTTAAGCCGGATGCATTTGCGTATGTTAGTATATATAAAGATTAGTCTCGCGATTCCTTATCCCGTACTGAGAAAACCGAGGTTTCAAGGAGAGACAATTTCGACGAAATTAAGTCAAAAGCATTAAAGAAATATGAAATTGCATAAATTCTCAACATGATGTATTAAATATATATTATTGTGTGTATATTAGAACTATCAGTGTTTTACATTCTTCTATCAATTTTTATTGTTCTATATTAATTTTCGGCAATATTCTATTATATACATATATTTCTCTAAACGCTCAAAAATATTCGAAATAAATGTTATAAATTAATTTTTTTTCGAATTTTAAATGATAAGAATTATTATATTATAATGTTACAAATATTTTAAAAAATATTAGACATTTTATTTATCGAAATGATTGGACTGTAAATGGTTTCTGTTAACGGGATCGTGACCGTGATAGAAGAAAGAAGGTAGGATGAAGAGTAGATAAGATGACGAGTGACTAACTTTTCTAAAATAATAATAAATGACGAATCAATGCTTATAACTATTATTATAGAAATATTTCATAATAATCTCTTGTAGTTTGATTTCAATATACCAATGAAAATAAATAATAATATAATAAAAAAATCTATTGTAGACTATGTAATTTTTGGTATTTGTTCATAAACCATGGTATAATTATATATAATAAATACTTCACTATACATTTTATGAAATCACGACAAAGTATAATTGAAAACACATAGTAACATATATGTAACATATATTAATATTTTCCCTTTTTCATATTATAATATTTTTATGGGATAAATAAATATAAGATCATTAAGTAAAATGAATGTTATGACCAAGATAACATTTTCATATGCAAATTAGGAATTATGTTCATTAATGCAATTTGTAATGTAAATGCATCTGCTTATAATTAGTTATAGTTAATGCATATATCTATGTAAATTTTATTATATGCAATTTATTAATTTTTTTTATTTTTAAAGTAAATATGATGTAATTTATATAGCTTATGTTATAAATAAAACTAAGTATCTTTATTTGCTTTCATCTAATATATTTGATATAAATTGTTTTTATAAATGTTTCTAAATAATTAATAATTATTTTTGTTTTGCTTTTAATTTAATTTAATTTTAGATTGTATACATACAATATTTTATTTAATTTTTTTTTCTTCAAAATCATAAAATAATATTTTTCTTCTATTTTTATTTTCTTATGCGTCTAAATAATATGTTACATTAAAATAATATGTATAAAAAGTTTATTACAATAAATTTTTTCATCCATAAAAAATATATATTTTTATAATCTAACTTGGTCTTTTATCATCTTACCTGCTACTAAAGATTATTCTATTTATTATTATTTATCCGCATATACGGCAGCAAAATAATAAAATTGACGTTTTTAAAAAAATCTTTAAAAATTCAAATTTTTAAATTAATTTTTACAGATCATATAAGCAAGGTTTTAGTAAATCTGAAGAAAATAGATCATCGTATTTACGTCATATGTAGAAATTAAGAAAAACTGACATCTGTTACTTCCCAGCCAGAAATGAATGATCAAATTGACGTTGAATCGATGTTGATTCGACATCGAGTTATATAATCGACGTTGATTCAACGATGATGAATCGACGTCAATTCGTCGTCGAATCGACGTCGATTTGATATCATTTTTGGCTGGGTTTCCTTTTCCCAACATATGTATATAATAGGATTTTCAATAGTGCATCCAATTAAGAATAATAAATGATCGCGCGACAATATATTTAAAGTATTCTTAGATCACACCACCCACGTGGTTCTCAGCACAAGGCAGCATCTCCCACAGTGCTATACCCTGAAGAGTTTACTAATATAGGTTGTCTGATAATAATAATAATCGCCCTCTTTCATGTGTAAATAGAACGAGTTAAATTGAATAGGAAAGTTCTCTTATCATTTGCGATTTTCGCAATAATTAAGAAATTAATTTTTCAAAATCGGCCAATCGGACCCTTTTACGATATCTCTTTAATTCCTTTTTAACTTGTCTATAAGCGACTTTACATCTTCTTTTCCCTCCTCTCTTCTATCTCTCCTTCTTCTTCATCTTCCTTTCCTCTCATTAATCACTTTCTTCTTACACAATCCTTTTCCAAAAACATCTGAAAGTAATCCTAACGCTCTGTTTTATCCATAGAAATACGAATTGTGAATTCAACTATGAATCATTTTATTGGCTATACAGATAGTGTGTGTGTGTATGTGTGTGTGCGTGCGTGCGTATGCGTGCATGCGTGTGTGTGGGTGTGTTCGCGCGCGCGCGTGCGTGTATGTGTGTGTGTGAACAATTTTCTATAATTAAAGTACTAATAATAACTAATTGTGAACGCTATAATTTTATGTAAAAAAACAAAAAAGTTAAAAAAAGATCGACAAAAAAATGTAATTTTTTAACTGTCTTTTTACGTGAAATTATATATAACGTTCTCCTGGTTGTTAATATTAATACTGTAATCATATGGAAAAGGATTTGCTCATTTAATAAGGATTTACTCATAAATGAGTTCAACTACTATTATTTTTATTGGTTATACAGATTAAGAAATCCTTTTTCACCATTAAAGTATTAATATTAACAAACACGGGGGAGCGAAAAGAATTTTTCAACCTTTATAGCCAACGAAAAGATTCATGGTCGAAACCTTCGCGTTTTTATCGATAAAACAATGCTTTATGAAGTGTTTAGTATTCAAATTTGAGATTTTTCGCCTCTCAGGCCGCGACTTCCACGCCGCGAAACCACCACATGTCACTCCCAAAATTAATTATATATTGCAGCATCATGTAACAGCGAGATTATAATATATCCGACAGTTTTTGGGTTTTATGTTTTGAGGTTTTGGATATTATGTTTTGACAAACAGTCAAACAAACAAAAATAAATAATAGCTTTCATCGTTCTGATCAATTTCAGACTTTCCAAGATACGGAGGCAGAAAAGGCAATAATGGGTTCAGTCGTATATTGTATACATTACAAGGATGGCTGCAAATGGTCAGACGAACTAAGGAAGTTAAAGGTAAGATTGTTTCAAATAAAACTTAATATTAAAAAGAACGAGTCTCGACAGAAGTAGAGAAGTTCAGAGTCTTCTGTTTCTTTTTTTATCAGGCGCACTTAAATACATGTAAACATGATGCGGTTCCTTGTGGCAATAAATGCGGGGCGATGATTCCTCGTGTACTCATGGAAGACCATTTGAAATATACCTGCGCCCAACGTAGGGCTCGTTGCGACTTTTGTGCCAAAGAGTTTACGGGACATACTTTGGAGGTATTTAATAAAATTTACCACGAATTAAATTATATATATATATATATATATATATATATATATATATATATATATAATTTCATAAGTTTTAAGAAAAGTTTTAGACTCTACAAAACATGATATTTATAGAAACACATGGGAACGTGCGGCTACGAGCCCCTGTATTGCGAGAACAAATGTGGAATGAAGGTCCAAAGGAGACATCTCGGACAGCACAAGTTAGGCGAATGTGCCAAAAGATTGGTCGCCTGTCGTTACTGTAACAAAGAATTCGTTTTCGATACGCTCGGCGCTCATCACACGAAATGCGGCCGATTTCCTGTTGCGTGCCCTCATCGTTGCGAAACCGCGGTACTTCCCCGAGAGGATCTCGAGGTTCACTTAAAGGATCATTGCACCACGCATTTACTTTCGTGTACATTTAAGGACGCCGGTTGTCGCTTCAAGGTACTATTTTTTCTCATATATTATAGCTTGTATAAAAGATGAGTAAGTCAAAATGAATTGAAACAGATGCTTTTTCCAAAATATGTAATCTTTGTAATAAGAAAAAGAAAAATTATAAATATTTTTTCATCATATTTTTTTATTGCTCGAAAAGCATTATATTATTTATTATATCATTTTTTTGTAATAGGGAAATAGATTTTCGCTCGATAAACATCTAGAAGAATCCACAAAAATGCATCTAAGTCTCATGTGTAGTCTCGTAACGAAGCAGCAACATCAAATAACCAGTCTAAAATCAGCGATCAGCAAACTATCATTAAACTACACGGGTACACTTATATGGAAGATTACGGATTATGCCGCAAAAATGTTAGAAGCTAAGGCGAAGGAAGGAATGGAGCTCATCAGTCCACCTTTTTATACTAGTCAATACGGATATAAATTACAAGTATGTGTATATGAAATATATTAAAAATAATCGTTACATATTCGATTTTCCGCGATTCAAATGTATATATATTATATACAAGGTGTAACAAAAAAAGATACTATAAGGGTACACATCCAAATGATGAAGAAAAAAATTCCTATTAACATAGAGAGTTCTTTTGGTCATTTTATGAATTTTCTTTACCCTTAATAAACGTCCCAAGTAACAAACTGGCGCCATTAAACGTCAAAATGATGTCATTCGACAAATGACATAATAAGCTTGCTACCTGAATAGCTGAGTTTAAGAAATTACCAAGTATATTCTAAGTGTCAATTCACTAAAAAATTTTTCAATCCTAACAGGCCTCGATTTTCTTAAATGGAAATGGGACCGGAGAAGGCAGCCACATCTCGATATACATAAAAATCTTGCCAGGTGAATACGATGCACTTTTACGATGGCCATTTTCGCACAGCGTGTCATTCACCATGTTCGATCAGACGATCATCGCGGAAAAGGCTTGCAACATCGTGGAAAGTTTCATACCCGACCCGACGTGGAAAAACTTTCAACGGCCAAGTCGCGAGCCGGATTCTTTAGGTTTCGGCTTTCCGAGATTTGTGTCCCACGAGATGGTGAAGAAGCGACACTTCGTCAAAGACGACACCATGTTTATTCGAGTTAAAGTGGATCCTAGTAAAATCGTAGCGGTTTAAACTTTAAACACACACGATGACTCTACTAAAGGATTATACACGTTTATGGTTACGGACTTTATATGTGATATTTCCGAGTACTCGCTTGGGCAAAGTATACGGTACTTATGTTGCTTTGAATTATGTGGCGATAATCCTAAGCTGAAACCTAATGAAAAGGCATTATGAAAATTCCCGCCTATGTCAAGACAATTTTGTTGCATTTGTTCACATATCATTATACTATTGTTGACATAATTCTCTGCTAATAGAATTAATAATTTATTGATATTGCCAAATATGATGCATAAAACCGTATTTACTTATTCAATTTTTTTATTTGTCTTAAAATTTTTTATATTATTTTTTGTAGATGGCGCTCAACATTTCTTTTGTATATATTTCAAATTAAAATTTTACTCATACAGGGTGTATAAAAAATCTAGAACTCCTGAATATTTCGAAAACTAAGCATTTTAGAAAAAAAATGTTTCCAATATAAGTTATAGGGCTCAAAATAAGGCATTTGATGGTGATCTTGACTTTGACCTAAGGATCAAATTTAGAGGTCATTTCAAGGTAAATTTAACTTTTAAAATAAAACCCTATTTTTTATTACATATTCTTGTAACTTATCTCGAGAGCTTTTTAAAACACTTATCAAAATTTATGTCGGCAGATGAAATTAAATATTTACTTTTTCTATTATCGCATTTTTTTAAATAAAACATTTGAAGATATGAATCATAAATAACTCAGCAAAAGGTTTATATTTTTATGTTACATGTTAGTTTTTTCATTATTCTATGATAGCTTGCGATTATATTTGCTATCTTCCTAATGATCTGTCATTCATATTTATAATACTAAGTATATCTTTTAAAAATATCTAAAGAGTGAGAAAGGATCTTGAATTTTTCGAGGTCTTATAGCCTTATAATCATGTGACTGAAAGTTATTCTTAGGGAAAAAATCAAAGATTATTGAAGAACTGTACTATAAACAATGTAAATATAAATGCAAAATGCCATACAATAATGAACAATGACTTAAACTAATTGAGACAGATTCACCAATGTAAATATGCACTTCTTATACATAGTTAGAATGAGAAATGTGATTGATGTTAGCAAGTGGTATGTACTGAATTGAATGTAAACCAACTAATAAAACTTGTTATATATTCATATGCAAAATGTTTTTTACTTCTTTATGCCGTATGTGAATCCAATATAAAAGTGCGATTAATTTCAAATATCATACAATATATGTTTTAAGGACAGATAAAATTAAATAGTAAATAAAGATAAAATAAAATAATAAATTAGATATTTTTAAGTTTTTTTAAATTATATATCAATAAAATGTAAAAATTCTAAAAAAAAATTCATATTTCTTTGACAATATTACTAACAATATTATAACAGCATATTATAAAAATAATTTGACACTTCTTTTTCTCTTTACATACTTCCGCTATATTGGGAATTGGTTTCTTCTGTATTTGCCTACACAAAAATAGAAACTAAATTATTTTAAATGAGAAATATTGATATAATTATGACAATAATGTCATATACATATAACAGTAATAAATAAAAAAAATACTTACAGATTGTATTCGTAACATTTGATCTAATGCATGTGGCAGTAATGGACGTATACTATTAATTTCCATTGCAGTGAGATGGTCCAGTCTTGCGTGCACTCCCTCGCTCTTTATAAAAGCATCAACAGATGTACGCAATTTAGACATCCTTATATCCCATATATCCTATAACAATGCAAATTCTGATAATGCAATTTTTATTCTCTACACAAATTTTTATTCTCACAATACAATTTTTATTCTCTACTTATTATATTTTTTATCAGTTTTACTTACTTTCACTGCTATCCTTATATTATCTGCATCAGGTATATCGTCATTTGCAACACTCAGTAAAATTTGACACTCGTCTATATAATGATTACTCGACATCTGCGTAAACAATCTGTAAAAATTAAGGAATAAGAAATTTCTCGACCAATACTGGCAATTCATTATTTAATAAATTTCACAACATTTCGACCATTATCCATAATTTTGGTTTTTTTCAAGTGTACTAAAAATCTATAAAAATGTTTCACGAGTCGAAAACGAGATTTCGATTGAGAGAAAATATATATCAGTGAATAACGAATTTTAGTAATTCATCATTTTTAGTAATTAATTTAGTAGTTCATCATACTTGGACATCTTTTCCATCTCCTTCCTCTCATTCAGACTTTCAATGTTCATCCATTCCTGACCGACGATACGACACTTTTGTTTCTGCTTGAGACATACAGCGAGCCAAATCGGTACTTTGACAGGTAAACCGGCGCGAAAGGGTCCAACTGTGCCCGAGATCAGATAAATCATGTCCAGATTGAAGTTAGGCACTATGCTGACCAGTTGCTTCTCACCGAGGAACTCGACCTCGCTTGGGTCCATGTTTCATCCAACTTCAATTTGTTCGAATCAATTCGTTTTAAATATCAAAAAGAAATTTCTTGTATATACGTTTGGAATTATTTCGACAATTCGCAACTTATTTCGATCGATCATGACTCTAATCATAACCTGTTGAATCAGTTCACTTCACATGGAATAACTCAGTGTTGCCACAGATTAATAGACAGATCGCCAAAGGCCTGCCTAATAGTGCCTAAAGAAGAGACCGCCATCTTCGTGCGATAGACTTTGCCCCTTACCGACACACTTTGCCCCTGGTTCGAGTCCGTGCTAAATTCGTAGACTTGAACCAAAAGACTTTGCCCCTGGTTCGAGTCCGTGCTAAATTTCGTAGACTCGACCAAAAGACTTTGCCCCTGGTGCAAGTCCAGGCTAAATTCGTTTGACATTACCAACAGACTTTGCCCCTGGTGCGAATCCAGGCTAATTGATCATGAGACCAATTTGAGAGATTTGGCCCCCGTTGTGTGTGTGTGTGTGTGTGTGTGTGTGTGAGAGAGAGAGAGAGAGAGAGAGAGAGAGAGAATATTTTACATATATGCATATATATATAAAATTTATTAAATATAAAAAATATATTTTTTACACATAAAATGTTTTTTTATTGAAATAATCACGATTTTAAATGTGATATAACACAGTGTTCAAAAATTTTTTAATTAAATTTTTTAATTAAATTTTATTAAAGAAAATTACTTGAAATTTTTTACATTAAGAATTTAAAGGCTCCTTATTCTCTTGTAGAAATTTATCACTACGCCAATTAATCACTTATTTTGAGTATTTAAAATACTATAATATACAGTAATTTAAGTATTCGAAATAAAAGTGATTAATTACTCGAAATAAGTGATAAATTGGCGTTACTAGTAATAAATTTCTATAAGGGTTGAAATAAAGTATAAGAGATAAATAGGCTATATGTGAGCCGTATGCGAAATGTGAGATGTAAGACGCATATTGAAATTTAATTTTTCGATATAACTTTCAAAAATGTACACGAGGTACAAAAAATTAGCTTGGACATTTGTAAGACTTAAAATTGGGATTAATTCTCAATTCTATTAATTAAATTTCGATATAACACACCTTACATCCGCGCACGGCTCACATATATATAGCCCATTTATTAGTGCAATTTTTAAGTTCCTTATTTTTCAAAGTTCACCTTTTTACGTTATCAAATATTTTTACGTTTTCAAGAATTTTATATTTTTACTTACCGCAGTTTCTTATCCAAATGTAAAATCTTTTATCGCAGTCTATAAAAAATTGAAACAATTTACAATTTTATGATATAATATTATTATTATTACAATTTCTATATATATGCACATCTGTCAAATATCGTGATTTATTTCACATTATTATTATCTATTTTAATAAAAAAAAAACAAAAACACTTGCAACAATCAAAAATAAACCGCCTGCCGCGAACGGAAAATGCCAAGAAAGCACGCAATTTCCGCGAATCTCGTAATTTTTTTGAAAAATCAACAATTTCAACGAAATTGTAAATTCTTCAAATCACTGCACAAGTATAATTCACAATAATAATTTTCAGTAACTACGATAAAAAATCGTATACTGAAAACCGCAAACGAAAGTGCAATGGGAGTAAGAGTAAAGTCTGTGATAAAATTAATTGGCAATAGAAAATTAATAATTTTCAAATAGAAAAATTTTGAAATTACCGAGGATTTACAAATAATAAAGTAAAAATATTAAATAATTTATGTTTTCGAATTTTGCTCGCGGAGAGGATCTTTAAAACAAGATTTTTAGAAGAGAGGACCTTTAAAATATAAACAGGCAAAAACGTTGGAAAAATTAAAGCGCGCGTTTAAACAGATAAACGCAATGAAATAAATACGCAATTGTTTTTACTTATCGCTGTAAGCTCACAAGCTTCTGACGTGCTATACACTTTTATATAATATATACAAGGTGTCCGGTAACTAACGGACCAATGATTAAGGGCGGATTCTCTGGCCAATTTGGAGACGATTTTTCCTTAGCAAAAATGTTGAGAAGTCAATAATTTTCGAGTTATAAGCGATTGAAAAAAATAGGTTTTTTGAAAACTAAACGTTTTGGAGTTAAAAGTCTAACATAATTACATTCTTCAGTTAATTTCAGGTAGAGTTTACTATAATAAAATTTTAATTTAAGGCTTAGTTATAAAGATACATAATGACAAAGATTGGAAAGTTGTAAAAAATGATGACCTTTTTCGACATTTTCGCTGAGGAAAAATCGTTCCCAAATTGACCAAAGAATCCATTTGTAATCATTGGTCTGTTAGTTACCGGACACCCTGTATATTGGACACGAGTTTCGTTTGTTTCAGATTCTCGAGAGTTGAAGTAGGAACATACGAGTATCATATATCGTTTGTGACTTGCCGAATGAAAGCAAGACAGAGAGCGAACGAGATGATGAGCTTAATAGCTCATAATGTTATAAATAAATAAATAAAAAATTATAACCTGACCTACTAGTTATTGAATCTTTTTTTAATAAAATGTTTCATTATTATTATCATCTAAGTCTAAGTCGTTTAATTACTTTTTAGTTTTTTAATAATTAATTTAATTTATTCTAGTCATTTTTATATGAGAAAAATAATATCACGTATACGTTTTATAATGAATTAATATATTTCGGGAATCGAATTATATATTCTTAATAATATAAAAGTGTTCAAAAATTATATTTGACTTTTAATTTTAATTATTTTATAGCAAAGAGTTCCGAAATCTCTTACACACATAATGGGGATTTTTTTCATCCATATAATTCGCAATTAAGTATATATGTTAATTATTAATTTTAATAAAATAAAAATTAAAATTAAAGGTCAAATATAATTTTTAAACACAAATATATTAAATTAATTATAAAACGTATACCCATGATAGTATTTTTCTCGTACAAAAATAATTAGAGTAAATTAAATTAATCATAAAAGATTAAAAATTAATTAAAGAATTTAAACTTATATTTTATATAATAATAATAAAACATTTTATTACGTCAAACCGTCGTGAAATAATTAAATAAAATTTGCTAGTTACGTCAAAGTCAAGTTTTCTAAGCTTATAAAACATTTTATTAAAAAACAGATTCAATAAATATAAGTACATGTTATATATATACTTATATTTATTGAATCTGTTTTTTTTATAAAATGTTTTATTATTATCATATATAATATAAATTATTTAATTATTTTTTAATTTTTTTATGAGTAATTTAATTTGTTCTAGTATTTTTGTACGAGAAAAATACTATCACGGGTATACGTTTTATAACGAATTAAATATATTTATGTTCAAAAATTATATTTGACCTTTAATTTTAATTTTGTATTTTATTAAAATTAATAATTAACATATATACTTAATTGCGAATTATATGGATGAACAAAATCTCTATTATGTGTGTAAGAGATTTCGGAACTCTTTGCTAAAATAATTAAAATTAAAAGTCAAATATAATTTTTGAACACTTTTATATTATTAAAAATATATAATTCGACTCTCGAAATATATTAATTCATTATAAAACGTATACGTATTAGTATTTTTCACATATTAAAATGATTAGAATAAATTAAATTAATTATTAAAAAACTAAAAATTAATTAAACGACTTAGACTTAGATGATAATAATAATAAAACATTTATTAAAAAATAATTATAATAGGTCAGGTTAATATTTTATTTATTTATTTATTTATAACATCATAAAATTCTGTCCTTTCCGAAATACGCGAACGCTACGAAAAGATAAATCTCGTACATGCCGCCGGACGAGTTCATGAGCATGAGACGCTCTTATCTTGGGAACGTATTAATAGTTACTGCATTGACCACTACTACGATATGGCGCTGAAATCAGTGAGAAATGCTGGTCTCTCCTTCATCCAGACCTTTGGCGATCTGTCTATTAATCTGTGATATTATCTAAATTTAGTAATAATATATTACCATGAAAAATAACTGTGATATTTTATTCAAGGTGCAAGTTCACATTGAACATACATACATATAAGTAAAACTGATTACAATTTGATTCTAGAAAATAAGTGCGATATGTTATTCTTAGTGCACAAAATATAATAGTCGTTTATAGAGATTGATTTGAAATTCATACTAGCCCGTACAATGAAAAATAATTGCTCGTAATTCCAGAGTACCAATTTGTTAATTACTCAGAAAAATAACATGGCGGCCTGCTCTCAAAAAACTATGATGTTTCTCGATGTCCATTTAGAAATAATGTCGAAGCTCTTACAGAATAATTACTACAACATTTGAAGTACGAAAAGTATTACATTAGAAGAAGATTAGATTAGAATAAGGATTCAACGTATTTTTAAAAGCTCTACACACAACGAAGTGAATATACAAAACTATATACAAATACCTTTTTCTTCTGTGTTTCTGAAGAAAATCTTTTAAATAGAAAATAGTGTCTTGCGATCATGAAGAATAGGTTTTAAATAGCAAGGTTTCATTTGACTTATAATTTTCGATATTATTCACTTAATTAATATGTAATTTTTTATTGTATATTACGACAAATAATCAGTAAACTTTTAAGCGTATAGCTTTATTGTACTTGACCTGAGAACTGTACATTTATAAATTTTACTTAATATACACCCGTTTCGAGCAACAAGGCAAAGTTTTCTAATCAATAACTTATTCCCTGAAAATACGGTATAACACAAATCGGAAGTTGATACAAAAATTCGAAATTTTACTAAAGAAAGATTGGAAGTTTTTAATTTATACAATTTTCACAACTCTTATTTCAATTATTTATTCTACCCATCGAAAGTTTTTTGAGAGCAGGCCGCCATGTTATTTTTCTGAGTAATTAACAAATTGGTACTCTGGAATTACGAGCAATTATTTTTCATTGTACGGGCTAGTATGAATTTCAAATCAAATCTCTATAAACGACTATTATATTTTGTGCACTAAGAATAACATATCGCACTTATTTTCTAGAATCAAATTGTAATCAGTTTTACTTATATGTATGTATGTTCAATGTGAACTTGCACCTTGAATAAAATATCACAGTTATTTTTCATGGTAATATATTATTACTAAATTTAGATAATATACACTTTACGTATGTTCACTTTGAACTGGCACCTTGAATAACATATCAGTTACTTTTCGT